CTGGCATCTGATATACACCGATTTTCCGTTGTGGTTCCCGAAGCCCAAGTGAGGTGGTTGGTTTGCTAGTGTGAGTTTGCACCGTTGTGGTGGCCAACATGGCGCTCGTGGAGGGGCGTCGAAACGGGTTCTTCTCCTTTGCCGTGGCGGCGTCCGCCTGCGGCTGTAGGCCGTACCTGTTCTCCGTGGTGATGCAGGTTCCCGCGGTGTCGCCTGACGGGTTCCTTGACAACGGGGGTCCCGCGGGGTCAGGACTTGTCTTCCGCACTGGCGCGTTTGGCTTTATGTGAGTCCTCGGAGCAGGCTTTGGAACTCTTTTGGTCCCCCCCTCGGTGCCTTGCGATGATTGCGGCGTACCGGGTGTGCTTGGGGATTGCGCGGTTGTGGCCGTAGGAGTCGCCCGCGTATCTGGGGTTGGTTCTACCTTCCGGGTGGCAGGTGGGGCCCATCCTCGCAGTTTCTCGGCGAACACGGCCGCGGATATGGGGCTGTGCGGAAGATGGGCGGCTGGGTTGGCGGCCGGTATCTCCCGTCCAGGGCTTTTCCGTAGGTTCCCTAAGCAGGGCACGGAAAGCGTGTGATCCTCAATTCCGGGCATCGGTGAGGTGGCCCGACTGCTGGACGTCCTCGGGGTGGGTGCTTCCGGGTATATTGCCTCCAGTGCGGCAAAGCGCTCTCGTAGAGCCGGGCTGTGGTCTCCTCCTCCGATGAAGGATGCCAATCGTGGTCGTAGTTCGTCTACTTGGCCGTTCGGGTCAAGTCCAAACTCTTTTAGCAGAGCCTGCAGCTCGTCCTTCCGGCGGTAGGCGATCCACCTGACCCCATGTTTGTGGTCGTGGAATCACCCCCGGATGCGGTGAAAAACCTGTCCTGTTCCAGTCCGGCAGCTGCCGGATCTGGCTTTGATTCTGCGTCCTCTGACGTTTTCTTTCCCGAGTCACTGGGCATACGCGCGGTGGCGCTGCCGATGGCTCTGCTGGGGATCACTCGGTGAGCGCTCCTAGTGGCGTGACTGGGCGCTGGGCGCTGGGCGCTACCAGGGGCTCACGGCAGGTGCTGCTGACGTGCGGCAGTGGCTGACCGATGTGGTTGCGGCTGGCGCTCCCGTTGGCGCTCGGTGAGTGCGGCTGGTGAGCGGCGGCGCTGATCGTTGGGCGCTCCTGGTGGCGCTCGGTGGGCGCTGCTGAGGTTGGCGCTCCTGATGGCGCTCGGTTGACACTGCTGTGGGTGCCGTTGGTACTGTTGATGGCACGGTTTTGCGCTCTGTGGGCGCGGCTGATTGGCGCTCCTGATGGAGCTCCTGATGGCGCTCGGTGAGCGCGGCTGGTGAGCGGCGGCGCTGATCGTTGGGCGCTTCTGATAAACACGTGGGTGCCGCTGGTGGTGCATTGACGCCGCTCGCTGGGCGCTCGTTGGGCGCTGCTGGGCCGCTCTGTGGGCGCTGCTCGGGGCGCGGTATGCGCTTGACGGCTTCGTGGGAGGCCACGTGGCTATGTGGCGCTCCGGGAGTGGGTTAGCGTTGGAGGGCGCAGCGTTACGGGATCCCCTACTCTAACTATTCCTGCGGTCTCCTATCTTTCCCTAAATCTCATCTACTGGACATGGGTCTTTAGGCCATGCGGTTGGTGGTAAAAACCCAACTCTCCTGAAGGATATCTAGTCGTCCTTATTCGTCCCTGTTCGGGCGCCAAGCTGTAAGGACCTTTTTCATAGGCTGGGATAAAACTCAGTCCGGCCAGGGTCCTCTACAGTTAAATTTGTAGAAAAATATAGGAACGAAACTGGACGGGGAGTTGCCGCGGGGATTTGCGGGGAAAAGAGGCCAGGGTATCCGCGTTGCACCGAGTAAGCGTCTCTAGCGCAACACGGCACCCGAAAGGTATAGTGGAGCGCTCCCGGCGAAAATACTAGCGAAACGAGCAGCGTGGCCGATCCCTGAGAGAATCCCAACAAAACCGAACGGCGGGGCCGATCCCGGATAAAAAAAATACCAACAAAGCTGAACGGCGTGGCCGTTCCCCCTGGATGTGCGACTCACAAGCTACCTGGGTAGGGGGTAGGGATCCGAGGGGAGGATGGCCGGAGGCGACCCTTCCCTGTGCTCCCTGTGGTTGATCGAGTGGTCGTTTGCACTGAGTAATCGTCTCTGGCGCAACACGATTCCCGACCGGCACAGATCACTGCACGTGGCTCGCGACTACCCAAACCGTATTTGGGGCGGGGTTCCCAGGTGGGGTGGCCAGAGGCGATCCTTTCCTATGCTCCTTGTGGGCGATCGGGTGGTCGTTTGCACCGAGCAAGCTTCTCTAATGCAACACGATTCCCGACCGGCACAAATCACTGCACGTGGGTTCCCGAAAAATGCACAAATTCACGCGGACACATACTTCTTCATTCTCTTTTATCTTTATTATTCGCTAGTTTCACAAGTTATTTTCCTAGTCCCCTACTCGCACTCAGTCTGATCTCTATTGTCTGTGTCCCACTTACTCCTTGGATCCGGCGTGCCGACGCTCGTGCCGCTGTGCCACTCCGGGTTGAAGTCCGCTCCTAGGTCTGGTCGCCTTTTCTGCCATTCGGGAATGAGGTCGAGCTTCCGCCCTTGCGACCGCATGTCAGCTCGGTTTGCCGGGTTTTTTCCGTTTCCGTTGGCCCTCGGTTGACCAACACTGGGTGGTTTTCCAGCCCTGGTGCGCGCGATATTTAAATCTGATAAGCTTAGCTTCTAGTTTGAACTTAAATAAATTGCCTTCGTGGCGTAACGACTTATGGCTAACTTATGCTTATAACTTATAAATAAATGGCCGTCGTGACGTAATATCCAATTGTATGCCTTCGTGGCGGAAAGAATAAAAGTGGCGAAATGTGGAGGGTGTGTTTCACGCATCCTCACAACCCTTCTTCCGATTCCGACCTGCATCCGGAAGTTTGGCGCTTTGGATTCCTTGCACTCCTCGCAACTCCGGACGTATTCCCGTACCTGGATGGTCATCCCTGGCCAATAGAACTGGCGTCGCAGGATCTACAAGGTCTTCGTCATCCCACCATGGCCAGCCTTGGGGTCCGAATGAGCACGCTCTACCAAGCTGTGCGTCAGGCTTTGCGGGATCCACAGCTTCCATTCGGATCCCTCCAGTTCCTCGTCCCTTTTCGGATTCTTCATGCGCTTGAAGATTAGTCCGCCGTCCACCTTGAGGTCCGGTAAGTGCTTCTTATTGGACTCCACGTCTTGTACTAACTCCGTATAATCCTCCGCAGCAAATTCGGTCGTCTCGAATCCCAATAACACCGTTGGATTTATACGGACTTCCTCTATGATGCGGGACAAAGTGTCGGCGACTACATTCTCGCTGCCTTTACGATGTTCAATGCTGAAATCGTAGCCCTGCAGCTGGAGAGACCACCTTGCGAGTCGTCCGGACAGATCCTTCATGGTCATCAACCACTTAAGGCTGGCGTGATCGGTAATGCATGTGAAGGGCATCCCTTCCACATACGGTCTGAACTTCCGAATAGCTAGGATGGCCGCCAGACATTCCTTTTCCGTGACCGAGTAGTTAACCTGGTGTTTGTGCATCTTGGCCGAGAAGAACGCGATGGGCTGCTCGTCTCCGTCCTGGTTCCGCTGAAACAATACCGCGGCGACGCCAACGTGGGATGCGTCGCACTGGATGAAGAAATGCTTCTTAAAATCCGCATGAACCAGGACCGGCGCGCTCGTCAAGGCCAACTTCAGGTCATCCACTGCCTGGGTGGCGCTGGGACTTAGGGAAAACTTTGTGTTTCCAGCCTTCTTCAAGGACTCGGAGAGTGGTGCGGCTGGCGTAGCGAAGTTCTTGACGAACCGTCGATACCATCCCGCTGTGCCGAGGAAGGCACGTACTTCCTTCATGGATTTCGGGTAAGGCATCTTCTGGATTGCCGTAACACGTCCAGGATCCATCCGCAGCAGTCCACCTCCGACTATAAACCCTAGGTAAGTCAAAGATTTGAAGCAAAACTTCGACTTCTTTAACCCTATGGTCAATCCGGCTGATTTCAGACTGTGGGCTATCCGACGCAAGTATTTCAGGTGCGTCTGAAAATCTGGAGCCAGGATTAGCAGGTCGTCCAAGTAGACGAAGACGTTGGATCTGAGCTCCGCTGGTATCACCCGATCCATGAGTCGCACCAAGCGTTGTGCCGTGTTGCACAGTCCGAACGGCATCATTCGGAACTGGTACAACGGCCTGCCTGGAACCGTGAACGCAGTGTACTCCTTGCTTTTCTCATCCAGTTCGATCTGCCAAAACGCAAACTTCAGGTCAACGCTGGAGATGTAATGCGTCTGATCTATTCTGCAGAGGATTCCTTCTATACTGGGCAGAGGGTATGCATCCATAATAGTCAAGGCGTTCAACTTCCGGGCATCCAGGCAGAACCGGTCTTTCCCTGGCTTCGACACCACTGTTGTGCGATTGCTCCACGGGCTTTTGCTCTCCTCGATGACACCCAGCTACAACATCTTGTCGATTTCGTCTTCGACCACCTTCTGCTTCGCCGGAGACATCGGATACGGACGATCCTTAAAGACCCGAGCTCCTTCCATCAGGTCAATGGAATGCCTCTACGTGCTGTGTACGCAGTGTACTCCTTGCTTTTCTCATCCAGTTCGATCTGCCAAAACGCAAACTTCAGGTCAACGCTGGAGATGTAATGCGTCTGATCTATTCTGGAGAGGATTCCTTCTATACTGGGCAGAGGGTATGCATCCATGATAGTCAAGGCGTTCAACTTCCGGGCATCCAGGCAGAACCGGTCTTTCCCTGGCTTCGACACCACTGTTGTGCGATTGCTCCACGGGCTTTTGCTCTCCTCGATGACACCCAGCTACAACATCTTGTCGATTTCGTCTTCGACCACCTTCTGCTTCGCCGGAGACATCGGATACGGACGATCCTTAAAGACCCGAGCTCCTTCCATCAGCTCAATGGAATGCCTCTACGTGCTGGTGACTCCGAGGCCGTCCCTTTCAAAGGTAAGGAATTCCTCCTTGACCTTGCCTAACGCCAGCTTTTCCTCCGCAGAAAGGCTCCAGGATTCGGGTTCCTCCCTTACCTCGTCCTCATCTTCCTGGTCGGCATAGTGCTCCATCTGGCTGGCATGGATTTCCTCCGCTGCCTTGACGCCTCTCGTCGCCGGCTTCCCCACGACGGCTGGAGCTAGTCCGAAGGCTCGCCAGAAGTCGACTCCGAAGTACGCCGTTTGTTCCAGGTATGGGCACAGGTAGAACGTGACCGGCTTACTTACGCCTTTGTACCTCACAGGCAGCTCCAAGCGTCCGATGATGGATCGATCTTCGCCAGAAGCCGTACGGACTACCGAAAAATACGGTTGGACGGTAACTCCCAGCGCTTCCACGAGCTCTCGACAGCCTTTGCCCAGCACACTTACGCTGGCGCCTGTATCCAACAAGCCGGTGACCTGCTTGCCCAAGGTCTCCACGTCATCAGCGGCATCTATGCGTTTAACGGCCGCCACCACCTCTCGTCGTCTGGATCTCCTCATCCTGAAGCGCTCCCTTGCCTTCTGGATTCTCCGTGAGACTAGACGCATGCCGCTCAGCTGGTGCTCCGCAAAAATCCGGTTCCGTGCCTCCATATAACGGCGAAGCCTCTCATCCTCCGGCAGGTATCTTAGCAAGTACTTATGAATATCAGATGGACTATGTATATTCTTGTTTTTGTCTTCTTTCTTCGGAACTACTTCGCGGGATTCCAACCTGGGCGAGTCCCTCCCGCTTTCGGACTGCCCAGCCGACCGTTTTCCGCGCAATCGGGACATTTTAGAGAAATCACGCCCAGCTTGCCGGACCGGAAACAAAATCTCCTCCACTCAGTGGCCTCGCAATCTTGAAATCCGTGCTCCGTAGCCCCGCAATACCAGCAACCTGGCCTAAATGGATTTCGGACTCGCCCATGTAGCTCGTCCACCTCCAGGTGTCGCTGCTCGTCGACTTCGTCCTGTTCGTACGCCTCGCTGACCCGTACCTTGTTCTGCTGCAGGTAAGTAGCACGCCCTCGACGACCGAAACTCCTCTCTACTTCGACGCACTCCTCCCGAAGTTCGTCTACCGTGAGTACGTCCATTGCGTAAACATACCTAGCGATGCCGTCCCTCAAGCCCTTTTTGACCACCTTCACCAACTGCCGCTCTGGCATTGGTTTTTTTAGGCGTGAGGCGAGATGCTGCATCGCATGGATGTAGTCATCCGCGCTCTCTCCCGGCTGTTGCTCACGTTGAAGAAGCTCGTGCATCCTTTCGTGTTCCGTCTGGTGGCCACGGAACCGATCCATCAGAGCCCTGCGCAGCTGTGCCCAGGTGTCCACTCTGGACTGGCGTACATGTACCCAGTACCACTCCTTCGCTCTGCCCGATAAGAGAACGTGGAAGTTGCGCAGAACTTCACTCCACGGACATTGATGCTGCCGCTGCAGGAACTCCAGACGGAACACGAAGTCGTCCACGGAATGGCCATCGTCCTCGCCGCCGAATGAGAGGTTCCAGCGGTCCACTCGGATGTAGCGGTTTCCGTTGCCGGCTCCCGCGTTGGCGTATAACCGCGGCTCGTCCCGAAAGTCCACCGACCTTCGGTCCTCGATGCGCCATGGCCGTGCGTGGCGATCGCTCCTGCCTGCCGGATGATACTCCGGTTCCTGGCTCAGGCTGCTGTCGATCCCTGGCGAGTCATTTACCGGCAGTCGAGGTCGCTGCCTGGGCGGCAATTCCGGCGGCCTTCGGTCGCATCCTCCTGTCTCCTGCCGCTGCTGAATCCCCGCTGGGCCATTTGCGCCGCCTTCTGGACACGACGGGGTGGGCACCATCGACATTTGGCGACTCGCGCCCTCCTGAAGCGGCTGCGGCTCTCGGCTGGCCTCAGGACGTCGTTCAACAACTTCATCATGTCGACGAATCCGTTCTTGATTTCTTCCCGCAACGCCTGGCTCACTCCTAACTCCTGTGATGCGCGATAGGTTTGGGCAGTCTGTGCCAGAGCTGCGTTCATCGCCGACTCCGCCGCTGTATCCCGTTCCGTGTTCAGCTTTTGTGGTGCCGTCTGCTCCGGAACCAGAAGTCGATCCTGCGCCTCGACGATTGCCTTGAAGTCCAGGACCCTGGGCGACCGGTGGTGCTCCAGATCCGCCGGTTGATCCCGAATCCGATCCACCGCACTACCGCCTACCGGCGTTCTGGGTAAACCCCCAGCCAGCGATATCCACGGCAACCCAGCAGCACCCTCTACGCACGTGGACCAAACATCGTCCTTGTCGTCGCCAGGAGGACCCATCGATCTGAGCTGGTGGCCGTGCCTATCCCTGACGTCCCTACCCTCGGACATACTTCCCAAGAATTTTTAAATAAATACTTGATAACTACTAATACGATAATAAATATGATGAACAAATAAATAAATAAGACAACAAGAAAATACAATAATAAATAATATAATAAATATCAAAATAAATACGAAAATAACTAATAGCAAAAATAAATAACAAAAAACAAATCTTCCACACTTTCCAAAACCTTTCAAAGTCTCCCATTTTTTCAATTATTTTTTTCTTCCTGCCACTCTTGACTTGGGGAGATGGAACTGCCTCTCGCCGGTGGGCTTACGACCTACTTGTTTTGCGCTTTCTCCAAAAATCCTATTTTCCCGTCTCCGCCTAGCCGTTCGTCACTCGTGGTGATAGCTGCCAGTTAAGGACATCGGCTGGTTTGGCTCCTGTTGGCTTTTCTTTCCCGCCCTCTTTTTCTATCTTAAGTCGAGGCAACCGTGCAGCGCGTAGGGTTGCTACGGGTCACGATTACGCAATTAAGTTTACAACCGACATAAAATTAGAAATCGAGGACGGGGAGAAAAACCCAGGAACCCAACATCCTAACAAAAAAACATTTCAAATAAATAAATAACAAAATACAAGCTTTAAAACTACTCTATCACAGATCTTATCACAGATTTTCTATTAGTGCATCCCGTGATGCAAATCTTGGTTTGCTCCAAGATGCCATCACCGGTTCACTGGTAAACCTGTGACCAGGAGCAAATCGTCGGCAATGTCCGCCGACCCGCCTCCCGTTCTACTTCCAACTTCCCTACTCAGCTGACTCCCCCGTCACCACTCCCTAGCAATTGCAATCTATGTTGCAAGCCATAGGTCGTGATGGCGGGGGCGTCAGGGTCATAAATGGGCGAGACGTCGTCGCCTCGACAATTTATTTTGTTTAAATTGGGCGCCAATATGTTACGAACTGCTTTTTTTCGGTGGCAGTGCCGCTAGCTCAGTCGTTCCTCAGGGCAGAGTACACCTAATGCCACAGCTCGCAACATAAATATCGATACTTCGCGGTCTCACATTACTAAACTATCGGTCATCACTAATGATAACAAAAACGTAAACAAAGCAAATTGACGAAAAAATGGATTACATTTGGTGGCTATCGATGTCCTAGCCAAGCGCTCCCACCCATCCATGGATGCCCTCAAGATGCTGCAGGGCACCACCCATTCGCAGTCGGCAGGAGCCCCCTCCTCGCGACTACGACTACGGTTCCATCTCCCTCACTGGGAAAACTTACTCACACATAGTGGGTATTACAAAGGTTTAATAAATATCGTAAGTACAATCGTTTATATACATGCTCCTCTTGACAGATTTATCCTTCCTCAGCCTTTAAGACCGAAACCTGGCCGCCGTCTCGGATATTTACGCGGTCAAAGCAGAGGATTCGTTTTGCAGGAAAAGGGTACAGGCGCCGCGGAAATTATGCTCTACCAGCCATATATTGGTAGAGCTCGCATGGAAACGCGGCCCTCAAAGGAACATGCGCGAAGCGGGTGTGTATGGTCACCTAATCCTGAGGAGCTCCAGGGGAAAAGAAGGGACAGGCCAAAAAGGTACGTAACTGCACTGTAAGCTATACCATTTAACTAATGCTCGCGACCTTTTTAATTTTAGGCAAACAACGAGGACAAATAAGGCTCTCGGGTCTAACTCCGGATAAACTCACAAACAGGTAAGTAGATATCAATATATATGATCGAGGTACACGTGTATTTAATTTCTCGTAAATTTCAGCCACCGTCGGGCCGGGCCTGGAGGCGAGATAGCCCGGGCTGATGACTTTCCGCCGGAGGCCAGCAGCGATACGGATCTCCACACGGGAAAACGGCGCTCTACGGTGAGTTGTGTAAGGGCAGTCCGAGATTCGGCTGCCAGACAAAATGGCGATACTTCTCAGCGCCGCAATTCGACCGATGGAAGTTCCCGATATGAGGAGGACGCGGTACGCCGGAACGGACTCACCGGGAAATGTTGACGTCGTCGGCGTCGACTGTGGAAGGCCTTTCTGGATGGTCGTTGGCCGGGTCGAACGGACACCGGTTGCTGGGCAGCCAAGTCGGGCTGGTAGGTATGGCGATGTCGGTAAAACTCCAAATAAATTCTTCCGGGGCCCTTTGTATTGGGACCCCGGCTGTCTTTATAAATGATAAATATTAAATACCGAACTACTATAGAACTTTAACATAACTCACTATTTAATTTAGAGCACAAAGAAAATTTATACTGTCACTCCTAGCTGCATCTGTCTTGATCGTTGGACAGTATGGCCGCGACTATCACGATATCTGCTGATCATCGCCCCCCGCCATATTACATGGCCTCTCTCAACATTGGGTCATTGGATACATGGGTCATTTGAAGTAATCCCAGAGCGAACCGGGATTAATCTTCAAATGGCCAGATCGCCCGCCAGACTCATCCCGCTGCTGCAGCTATCGCCCTATCGACCTAACCTATCGATAACGTCGCTCCCACTCGACTCCAATTGCAACACAAGTTTGGGAGGTGATAGCGCCTTCAAATATATTTTACTTTATATAAATAATGTGCGTTCTGGTGCAACATATGTAAAGTTTTGCCACGAAGGACATCAGCTGAAAGTTGGTAATTTCTATAAAACAAAAACGGCAATTTTTATTTTTCTAGATAAGATCCGAGCTGTTGATCCTTAGTGTTGGGCCAACAACAATTACCTTTTAACAGCTGACTTGTGCCACTAAAATGCATTTCCGTCGCAAAAAAATACCAAAACGGCTTGAATAAAAGTCACCTAACCTCGTAAAATATACTGAATAAGAACATTGAAATACTGCACTGTTTGGTGTGTGCGGACCCATTTTCCGCTGATGCGAGCTGTAGCGACTGTTTGCCTTCACTTTTTAGCACGTGTATTTCTTATGGAAGAAAAAGTCGCTGAATCGGAAACACCCACCGTGTGAGTAGCAATTTTGATTGGTCAGCGCTGATTACTGGATTGTATTTGTTTTATTTAAATTTTACACTGGGACGGTCCACATTTGCTTAAAAATTTGTTAGGACCTACTTTTATTTCAAATTAAGGTATACCAAACTAAACTTTTTGGAAAATCCACAGGGATCCATCCACCATCTGCCATCCGTTGAACGGATGGTAAATAAGGTTTTGCCGTTCCGAATATTTCCCAATTAGTTCCCCATCCAAATTTGACGGACTCTTTTATGCAACAGTTAGGCGATGTTTTTTCGGTGCAACTAGGGTGCTTCTTTTTGACAGTGGATATTGAAACATTCACTACGAAAACGTAAGCAATGACGACAGGTTATCGGATGGTAGATGGTGAATGTGCTCTGTGGGAATTGGAGTTTCACATTTGAAAATGGGAGGAGCTGAAGCAAGTGGATTGGTTTGATTAGCCACATGTATTCGGATCAGCTGTTATCGGATGGTAGATGGTGGATCTGCTTAACCGCTTCGAACGGATGGTCTCTATGGCAAGAGGGTAAAGGGCTTGCGAATTGGTTTCAAAGCTTATAAGTCATACGAGTCCAGGTTGATCAAATATATTATTTCTAATCAAATGTCCCTGACTTGGATGAAGAGTCCGTTGTGTCCAGTTCTGACTTTAGTTTTCCGTTCAAAGACATTTCGCTACTTTTGGTCAATTTTCTATTCATAATGACCGAGATACGCGTGTTGACAAAGTTGGGGAGGGGAAATCGTACTTTTTGAAAAAAGTTTCGGCTGATATGTAGTATGTAGTATGAGTAATTTTTAAAGATACATTGAGGAAGATTCACTTACACTTTAATCAAGCAAGTAAAAGGGCGATAACCAGATTTCATTTTTTGGCCACCCTATTGTAGAAAATTATTATACATTAACAACCGAAGCGGGAAGAATCATAAATAGAATTTATCGAATTAGTTTCAGATTAATATGCGGTTTTTAAACACAGATGATTTCAAAGAAAATAAATCTAAATAAATTAACTCGTTCCCTTGAAAGCATCACAAGTTTGCCTTGCATTAGTGTGAGTGTAAAAAGCACGAAGTTGGCGCGCAGCGCGCTAAAGCCTGACGTTTCTCCGTTTTGCCTTGAGAATCTCTGCCGCAGCAGCAAAAATGCGCGCCGAAGATGAGAAAAAAAAGACCCGAAGACCCATGCCGATGTCATACGAACATCTACGTTATACGTGAGCGAGCAGCGGATAGTCAAAACGATTAATAGTCCGCTGCCGACCGCTGCTTTAAAGTAACGATAAAGTCGGAGTTTCACATCTGTTAAACATAACAACATTTTCTTAGGAATGGGTTGTGTGAAGAAGCTCTTACACAGAATTCGTCACAGAGTGGATGGTGTATTCTCGGTGGGAATCGGGTATAAGATGCACTTTTGGATTTCAAACAGAAAAATAGTCACATAAATCAATTTTAATAGCGATGTGCAGCAACAATATACACCACTATAAACTATTGCAAATATTGAAATATGGGAGATATGGAACAGTTTACAAGGGATATGATTTTAATAATAAATGTTTAGCTATTAAAAAATTGTCTCTGGACCAACCAATAGAAGAGCTTACGGCAATGTGTAATGAAGTTTTGACTATTCGTCGTTTTAAGCATAAAAATATTATTACAATCCTTCACTGCTTTTTGTTTAATCAGCATGCATATCTGATATTCCCATATATGTGTTTTGAAAACTGTGAAATGCTGCTTCAAAAAGTGTACACCTCGGGTAAATTTATTATGTTTTCATGCATAAAAGTATACGTAAAACTGAAACAACATACATATGTACATACCCCTTGCTCGCATAACTATGAAGTGGTTTCACACAAAAAGGCTTGGCAGCAGAACACAGTCGAAAAGAAATGCATTCCGGAACATGTTCGTTTATTAGCAAATGATCACACATAACATTTTCCGGAAGTGATGAACTTCCCATTCAATTTACACGAGTGCAGGACCAAAATAATGCATTTATGCCTTTATCTAGAAGGAGCCTGTAAACGCCCACTCTTACGCCCTCAAACCGCCCAAAACTGTCGCTCCTACGTTTAAATGCTATAAAACAATTTTTAACTGAAATGTACTGTTCTCTTAAAAACCCGTCGATTGTTCCAAAAAAATGTGGCCACGCCCACTTTAAAGTCCTTAAACTTCAAGAAATCGTCCATATGAAACCTCATACTTGGTATTTAAGATTCGTACGCAGTGCAAGTGTGTTACGCTGATGTGCCACGCCCACAAACCGCGCAAAGCTGTGGCGCTAACAGTTTTGATGCTAGACAAACAAATTTAACTGAAATGTATTGGTATCGTCAATACCTGCCGGAGCTAAAAGAGAGCAGAGCGCGCGGCTAACTTATTATATTGAATAATAGTTTTCTTATAGTTTTATTGTTGCTTAAAAAAATAAAACTCAGATATTAAGTTTGGTTGGTAAATTTTGGTTTTTATATAAAAAACTCAAGGAACAACTTATATTTTTAATTACTTCAAGTAAAAATATAACTCAAAATCATGTGGCGATTCTGTGGACTTTGAAATAAGTATTGAAATAATAATCTTAACTGTTATGATCCCTCGTTTCTTCTTGTCTTATTATATATTTATTCTGAAGCCAAATCTTGTTTTTAAGGTTTTCCGGAGATTATAATAGCACTTATCATAAAGGATGTATTATCAGCTATTACATATATTCACTCTGAGAACTGTGTCCATGGATCTATAAGAGCTCAGCATATTCTTATAAATTCTAGAAAAGCTGTTATATCAAATTTTCGTGATTGCCAAACTTTTATTAATCACGGAGAAAAAAAAAAAGTGCTATATGGATCAACAGTGGGAAAAAAAAATCAGTTGTATTGGAAAGCACCAGAAGTCTTAAATCAAAACCTTTCTGGCTACACCGAAAAAACAGACATATACTCCACAGGAATCACTTGTTGTGAAATGGCAAATGGCTTTCAACCATATCAAGGCACAGAATTAACATACATGTATATTGAAAAGGCTCGTGGAAGTCGTCCTTTGCTATTGGATCAGAGCAGTATTTTGGAGGACCAAGGTAATTTATTTCACAACTATTTTTAAGTTAAGTCAAATATCTAAACGCTAAAAAATTATAACCTATATAAACTCATTGGTTAGATGTATTTATATATATGTCAGGGGCTGAGACATTTGCTGGTCTCCTTCTTGCATATTGTTGCAGATGCGCAGTGAGTCGCGGTCAACGTCTTCTCCGTTCAGATATCAAAAGCAAAGTGAAGTCGGCTTCCTTCTGCCGGCTTCTTCTGACACACGTCAAAATGACACACGTCATCTAATTGCAAATTCCTTTCTTTTCTCTCTCTCTCATTTGCAATTCCTTTTTGGTCCTTCTCTCTCTCAGAGTCCTTGACCTTGACCATGACCGCGCCACACTCGGCTGAGACGACACTCTCTCTCGTTCTCAATCCACGCTCTCAGCAATTGTGCAAATGACAGGAACCACAAATAACCTAGTGACTAGTTTATTTTATTCTTTATTCTATCTCTTTCTTAACGCTCTACATTTTCTTTTACATTTTCTTTCTTCTTATACATCTCCGACACGGCCATCCTGACTTTCACACGTCCTCGTGTGCATACTGTAACACTAGGTTGGTATCATTCTTGCTTAATTTCTCTTTTCATCTTTTACATCTTTCAACATCATTCTTAGCTTAATAATTAGTCTACACACACAACTTTATAAATTGCGTCATCAAATGTCGGTTTCGCAGGCTATCTCGCTTTCTCACATCGTACAGTGAGTCAAATCAAACTTGTCTCACCAGTCAACCGCGCCACACGCCATGACAGAACACTTCTGGTTCCACACTTGTGCCTTCGGCTTGACCTGGTTCAACTTTCTCTCAGTAGCTCGTACTCTTCTGCGCAAACCCGACCATTTGGCTATCCTTGTTATCAAACCACAGTTACAGGCTCTTGCCGCCCCAGGCGACGCTTTGCACCTTTAGTGCCACGATCTGCTCAGATCCAAACTGCATCACACAATATCATCCATACCAGGCATGACTATTGTTGATCAAATCTAGCCCCTGTGTTTGATGTCTCACGACGAGTGTCTTTTTCACCACTGTCACTTTCCTCAATAGTCTCATCAGAGATCTGCTCGTCCGGCAGCCTTCTCAAACTCTCGTGCGAATACTTGTAGGTTCGCTTGCTAGTTAACGATTTTAACAGGTATCGATCACCTTCAAACAACTCGGCAACCACAAAAGGTCCTTTGAACTTAGGATCCAATTTGGTCTGATGCCGCTCTTCACTTCTAAGCAAGACATGATCCCCAACCTTGTGTTTTACAACTTTGGCCTTATTCTTATCAACTCGATTCTTTTCATATTTCGCATTTATTTCAATATTTTCTTTGGCCTGAGCCCTCGCTTGCTTACAATCTATTTTAGTCTCTTCATTTATTGGCAATAAGCCCATTGGCCTGGCCTCTCTTCCAATCAATATTTCTAATGGGCTATACTTTGTTACCCTGTTCGTTGTGCAATTCATGGCTAACTGTACTTCACTGAGTGCATCCTGCCAGGAACGTTCACCTATCTCTACCGCTGTCAACATACTCTTCATCGTGCTCATGACTCTTTCAACCTGTCCATTGGCCCTACTTGCACCTGTTGCTATCAAATGTAACTCTATTTTATGCATTGAACAGAACTCACGAAATTTCCCACAAGAGAAACTCCTGCCTTGATCTGCTATGATACGGTTAGGTACCCCAAAAAGTGATATTGTTGATTTTACAGCCTTAATACAGTTTTCTGCATCTAAATGCAAAGTATGATATAGGTGAACAAATTTAGTAAATGCATCTATTTGTACTATGACATATTCCTTGGTATCATTTTTACCACTCAGCTTTCCACTAATATCAATGTGCACAGTATGCCAAGGTATCTCAACTTTCGGAATTGGATGCAATTCCATTTGAATTTTCCCTGATGGAGGCTTTGCTAGTTTGCATTTGATGCAGTTTTCTACAAATTTTCGTACATACTTGGACATATGCTCGAACCAATACTGCTCATAAACCTTGTCTAACGTTTTCTGCCACCCCAAATGCATGATTGCTTCATGGACGTGATTTACTACAGACCACCTAAAGGCTCTTGGGATTACAGGTAGACAGCGTGTTTTTCCATTTCTCTGAATTTTCCGATACAGAATTCCTGCTCTTAGCTCATACGTCTTTGCTAAACTCTCCAACAACTCTCCATCATTCAAATGGACTATAATTTCCCTTACACACGAATCACGCTGCTGCTCAGCTACAAGCCAGTTGTCTGTCACCTCTGTCAGGTCGATGCGGACTTCGGGTACTCTATTGGTTGTCTCACATTCAATGACAATCGGATTTCTAGATAAAAAGTCCACGTGCGCCATGCGATTTCCCTTGCGGTACTCTACAGTGAAATCAAATGATTGCAAATATGCCCACCAACGGTGAACTCTCGGCGTTAGTTCTATTTTAGCACGACTTGCTTTCAATGAATTACAATCTGTGAATATTACAAACTTTCGACCGTGAAGGTAATGTCGGAAACTTTTTACAGCGTTGTATACTGCCAGAGTTTCTAATTCGTATGAATGATACTTCGATTCTGGGGGCGATGTACACTTGCTAAAGTATTCGACCACTCTAGGCTTACCGTCTATTTTGTGCATGAGAATGGCACCATAGCCACTTGCACTTGCATCTGTATGCAGCTCTATGGGATATTGTGGATCAAAAATAATTAAAACCGGATCATGTGTTAGTACTGAGATGATCTTCTGCCGTATTTCTTCATGCTCAGCTTTCCAAACGAAACTACTAATTTTGGAAGTCAACTGATATAACGGTTTCATCTGTTCAGAGAACTGTGGGACAAATTTACGGAAGTACGACGCTAATCCTATAAATTGTCGTAATTGTGAAACATTCTTTGGTTGAGATAGTCCAGCCAGAGCTTGTATTTTTCGCGGATTTGGTTCAATACTACCATCCTTGACCAAGTAGCCAAGATATTCTATTTCAGTTTTCAGAAAAGAGCATTTTTTTATATTAAATGAAAATCCTGCTTCCGATAGAGCCTTTAGCACAACTGTCAATCTTTCAAATGCCTCCTCTTTTGACCTTGCTACTATCACTACATCATCAATGTAAACAATTGCATAGGAGTACGCCAGGTCACCCAGTGCTCGCGCTATAGCTCGCTGAAAAATCGAAGAGGCATTCTTCAGCCCAAATGGCATAGATAGAAACTCGTACTGGCCC